ACCCTCTTCCTTGCTGACAGCTGCAGGCTCGCTGTGTTCTCACGTGGCCTCTCTTCTGTGCATGCTTACAGAGAGATACCTCTCTTCCTCCTCTTGTGGGTCACAGTCCTACTGGACTAAGACCCTACCCTAATGACCTCATTTAGCATTAGTTACCTGCTAAGGCCCCATCTCCAAATACAGTCACATTGGGGTTTAAGATTTGAACATATGAATTCTGAGGGATCACAATTCAGCCTGTAGCATATAATATCCCATGGCAAATAATATTAGCATCTGAATTTGAACCCAAACTGGAGCCCCAGTCTTCTCTCACTAATCCATGTATGTTCCCAAAGCAGAAAAAGTGCAGGACTTAGAGCTGGGGGCAACAGAGCCTGGTAGCCAAGCACACAGGCTTAAGGGGTCAGAGGGAGCTGGGGTCCAGCTCTGGGACTTTGGGCAAATTGCTTTGCACTCTATAAAATGGGGCTCTAAGGGAGCGGTTCACAGCGTTGGCACACTGGGAGGGTTAAATAGGACGATGTGAGTGGAAGGACAGGCACAGAGGAAGGCTGCCACAGTAAGTCTGTGAAAGCTGGGAGCTCTGTACTCCAAGTGCTCAGCACAGTGCTGGGAACCTAGTGTGTGCTTTTAGTAAACATTGCAAATGGATTTTTCAGTTGTCATTATTAGTGACCAGAATATCTGGTTTGTCGGCACCAGCTTTGCTTATCACTATTATAACACCCTGGGCAAGATGCTGAACTGGGTCAGCCTGTTCCCTGTCTGAAAAATGAGGATCATAGTAACCCCGACCACGAGAGCTGATGTGAGGATCACTGGATAGCTGTGGACAGTCTTTATCCAGCAGTGCCTCCCAAATGCTGGGCATCGTGACCACCAAAGGAAGAGTCGGGCTCCCTAGCCTCTCCGTGCTGGATCTTCATAGAGTGTGGCAAGGCGATATTTGACACAGGAACACTCTTCTGGAGGAGAAAGGAAGTTGGAGAGTTCATTCCAATCACGAGCTGGGAGAATCCGCCTCTGCTGTCCAGGCTCACTTACTGCACCTGTGCGGTGGTGGCGGGCGAGGAGGTGATGAACAGCCGACTGGCTGGCGCTGGCTATGGGCCCTGCTGGTTGTGGTGCATTATGATTCTATGAAGAAGGCAGAAGTGTGGGAACCATGTGGCTAGGGCAGCACCCGTCATTGTAGACACTGGCACTGCTGTGTGTTGTAGGGGCGCTCAGTGGGGAGGACCAGCAGCTGGACTGCGGGGCGTGTTGCAGGGAGGGAGCCTTCTGTTAGAGGGAGGGAGGGGTCCTCAGGGACAAGGCCCATCCTGGGGAATTCTGGGAAATTCCCAGGGACTTGGTGTGCTGCAGAATGTATTGTCATTGTGGGAGAGATGGGCCAACAGCCTGCCCATATCTACTTCTAAGAAGATCATAGCAGGTCCAGCGGACAGATGCCAGGAACCCAGGACTGGAGACAGGCCTGGGCCTTCAGAAACCGATCATCCCCAGAAGGAAGATGAGGTTTGGCTGAGTGGGTCCCTGGGAAGCGGGTCCACCCCCAGCCAGGCCCCTGGCAGGGCTATTTTTGACTCAAAGCAGGGACATCTGTATGGGGGACGCTCCCCTTGCTGGTAGCTGCTCTGGAAACACACTTGCTGCCCATCTGTCTGTGCCACCACCCACATGTCCTTCTTCTCTCCAGTCCCAAAGGCATGTAAACACCCAACAGACAAGACTCTGAGTCCACTCTGGCTGCAAGAGACCTTCCACGTGGTCACCACATTTATGCCTGCTCCCTCCTACAGGGACCTAGGCAGAGCAGGACGTGCAACAAGGGGCTCATCTGCAGATAATCTAGCTGAGCACCCCACACCCACTCTCAGGCCCCTCCCTGCTTCTCCCTGTGCCCAGCGGGCATTGTTTACACTGAGTGTGCACCTCCTCGACCACCACCCCCAACTCTCCTGAGAATGCTCCCACCGCAGCCACCCATGAACTGTGAGGCCAAACCAATAGCCACTGTCTAGGCCTAAAAATGCTTGATGTGTTCTTTGCTCCTCTCTGCTCTCCAGCTTTTAAGACACTGTTTCTCCTGGTTCTCTTCCTGCTGCTCAGACTGCCCCTCCTCCAGCTCCTCTAGGTATATTTTCAGCTTTGCCAGAGGCTCTCCTGGTTTCAGCACTAAAAGCCCCACAGCTGGGAGCCCCTCCATTCAAGGCAAATGAGGATCATTACTCACCCTAAACTCACCCTGCCCTGTTGGCTTGCTCCATATCTCACTCTTACCTCTGCTGTCTTTTCGGGGTCCACAGTCTCCCAAGGCGTGCTCACCTATTTCCATGGCTGCCACCACTGGGCGGAGTCCATTCCCATCTGACATCCAGAGCCATGAGCTAACTGCCCAATGAGCATCACTGCTCAGATGTCAGACTCACCATGCCTATACCTGACCTGCCATTTGGTCTCTGTTGCAATGAAGAGCTCTACCATCAACCCAAGAGTTATATATTCCAACGCCCCTCCCCTCTTAACCCCATCTAATTAATGACCTAATCTTGTCCTTTTACCTCCTAAATCCCTTGACTCTCTCCAAGTATTTCCATCCCCAGTCACTCCCATAGTGTAGGTTACCACCATCTCCTGTCACAATCAGGACAAAGTCTAGAGAGAATGTCAACAATGGCCATTCCTGGGATGGTGAGTACTATGGTTTGAATTGTGTCCCCCCAAAATTTGTTCCAAGTCCTAACCCTACTATCTGTGAATGTGACCTTATTTGGAAATAGGATCTTGGCAGATGTAATCAAATTACAATGAAGTCCTCAGGGCAGTCCTAAGGAAGAAGAACATGCCATGTGAAGACAGACACACAGGAAGAACAGCATGTGAGGACAGAGATTAGAGGAGTGATACAGCTGCAAGCCAAGGAACAGCAAGGACTGCTGGCCACCACCTGGAGCCAGGAAGGGGCGAAGGGACATTCTACCCCGTGTCTCATTGGGAGCATGGCCCTGCTGACACTCTGGTTTCAGACTTATGGCCCCCAGAGCTGTGAGAGAATAAAGTTCTGTTGTTTAAAGCCACCTGGCTTATAGTACTTTGTTGTGGCAGCCCTAGGAACCTAATATAGTGAGATATGGGAAATTTTTATTTTCTTTTTTATACTTTTCAGAATTTGAGATTATTTGTAATGGATACAGAAGACTTTATGGTGAGGAAAAGCATACTTATTCTTTAAAAATAATGCTCACTCAGCAAGAATCCTAAACACCCTATTGGATTTATCTCTGAGAATTGAAACCATCTGCACCCACAGTTTACTGATCACATCAACATGGCTCTATTCCACTGTCTTCATCAACACAACTTCACTATTCCAGGAAACACTTGCCTAGGAAGATAAAAGTTGCAAATAAAATAAGTTTATTGTTTGTTTAAGGAACTTCGCAAAAAACATCAAGATGTTTGACTCTTTAATATCATTAAATGACTGTCTACTCTCCAAGACTCTTTGGAACACCTGCCTTGCTGTGTCGCCCGAACCCCAAACCAATGATCCTTCCTGATCATAACCAATTTCAATAATCTTAATGAATCTGAAAATGCAGTTATACCCATCTCTGCCTTTGCCTGTCTGAGATCTTCTAAGACTCTATCAAGGGGCTGAACCCTTCCCATGAGAAGCAGGCATCTCAGCTCTGCCTCATCAGCAGTTGATTTGGTAGTGCTTTCAGGCCTTCTACATCTAACACATCTGAAATAATTGGGTTTATCAGATGTCTTCTGTGTGCAGAGAATGAGCTAAGTAAGCACTTAATATGTACCATTTCATGGTATCTGCTAAATGAGCTGTTAAAAGATAAACTGAAGCATATTAAAATTTTTAAGAGTCTATCTGAGAAAAAATTAATTCAAATCAGGCAGCGACCAATCTAGCAGATAGAAAGATGCTCTGATTCTACAAATGACAGACCTTTAAAGGCAGGAGGGAGCCAGAACAAGGAAGTTACACCAGGCAGAAAAGCGGGTTGGTCATTGCAAGAGCACTTTCCTTTAGGGGGTGGCAGGGGTCCATCAGACAGGTGGCCTTACTACGGCTCATCAGGGGATCCCTGATTGACTGGTATGAGATTCCATTTCTGGGGGAGCCAAAAGTGTAATTAAATGAAGACTCAGTTTGGTGATGTGGGGCTTGGCATAAGTGACTCCATTTTGGGACCCTTGTCTTGGTTTTAACAAACCCCAAGAGGTTAGAAATGATCCCTGTTTTGCAGCTGGGGAAGCAGACAGCCAACATAAGTGGCCACACCCTTAGCAACAGCAGAGCCTAGGTCCGGCTGACTGCAGAGCCTGTGCTCTGAGTACTCCGCCTCTCCAAATTTAGCAAGACTGTAGCACAAAATACACATATTCCCACGTCTGACTATTTTTGGGAACTAATGGTACTCTGCTTCCAGTTATCTTGAAAATTACCTTAAGTAGACAGGCTCCACTCCTGGAAGACCTCACCTGGAGGGTTTCCTGAGGGGAGCCACTACAGAGACCACTCCCATCTCACACAGAGGCAGCCCCAACACCCAGGACTTTTGTTTCTTTACCCAGGCCTGAGACTGTGAACCATGAAAGGTCGATGGGCTTTGGTGGATAACAGGCAATTATTTCAGGCAGTCACATTTCCCACAAGGCACTGGTGCAACAAGTTAGCAGGAAAGAAAGAGCCGGACCCTTTGTCCAACCAGCAGGAGCACAAAGCTCGTTCCTGTGTTTATGAACCCTTCCTCGGATGGCATGTGGTCCAGACTCCATGCCAACCTGCAGGCCAGATTCTGTTCCCCTCCTCAGTAGTAAATGTACAAATTTGCTTTAAAGTGGGCAACATTTGCCCATGGGTGGACTTTGATTTGGAAGAAATCGACCCCAGAGTGGTGACTCACAAGAAATAAAGTCTGCTTGACTCATTCGGTGCTGGGGAGGGGTATGTGTGTGCAGAATTCACTTACCCAGAAGAAGAAGTTGAACACAAAGAGTAAATACTTCAGGTAGACAATCAGCCAGTCATCCTGCTCAGCCTTGTAATGGGCCATGGTTACTGAGCCTGCAAAGAAGACACACATGCTGGGCTGGGGGTCCACAGAGAATCACCTTGCCCTCCCCTGAGCCAGAGCTCTTTGGCAAGGTGCCCATCTAGCCAGGGAAGTCTGAGGTTTTGGGTGTGAAACTGAGAGCAAAGAGCAGGGAAATGCAAACACATGGAGGTGAGTTGGGCAGAATTTTCAAGATCTTGGTTTTGTCCTTTTGGCTCAGGTCTAACCTACGAGTCTTCCCAAAGACCGTGCACTGGCCTTGTTGTGTTCTTCTTCTCTCCCCCATGTCACCAGATTTTGAGGCTACAAATTTACTTGTTCTACGCACGCACGCACGCACGCACGTACCATACCGCGCTTTGCATCAGAATCCTGCACTCAGCATCATTTGACTAGGATCTCTGCCTGTATGGGTGAGGCATGAGCCCTAAATAAGTGTCTGTGTTGGAAAGGCCTTTGACAATTACCCAGCCCACCCAACCCACCTCCCCCTGCACCTCGACTTTCCAAATGAGGAAGCAGGTTGGCAGGCTTAGTGGTCTGGCTGGAAGAAGTCCAGGAGCTCTGGAGTTTGACTCCCTGAGTTCAAACCCAGATCTGTCATAAGATGTGTGAGACTTTGGACAAGTCCTATTACTCAGTGTCCTCATCTGTAAATGGAGATAACAATGATACCTACATTGTAGGGTTGTTTTGAAGATTAAGTGGGATAATCTATGAGAGGTGTTTAGCTTATCTGTGGCCCATAGTAAGTGCTCAATAAATGTTAACTATTATTATTACATGCAGCAGGGATCAGAACCCAGAACTCCAGCCCTAAAATTCCTACTCTTTGCCCCATGCTTCCTTTCCTTGCCCTGATGCCCACTGATGGTCTTTCTGGGAACTGTGACATCAGCTGATGACAAAGGTAGAGAAGGTTCCCTGTGCCTGGAGTCCCATTTGCTTCTCTGTAAGTCTGAACAACAGCCAGTGTGGTGCCTTCTTCTCCGGGGGCTCCTTGTCCCCAGCACCTGCAACATACGCTCTCACACTCACAGAGGAGCGGCTCTTCCCTTTAGGGAACCTCTTTTATTCTAGAACCATAAGCAGTGAGGTATTGGTTTGGCCCATTCCCATCTCTTTTCCCTCATTCCCCACCTCCAATTGGGCCCTCCTCGCCACCTCCCTCCCTGCTGCTCTCCTCGGCTGGTGCTGGGCTAAGCCCAGATTTTTTCCTCCTGAGCCACTACCTTTTATTTCCAGCTCATGGTCTCCTGGGCTCTACCTTTTATTTCCAGCTCATGGTCTCCTGGGACAGGGAGAGAGGAAGAGAGAAAAGAAAAGGTGGCGGTCTTATTTGGCATTTCTATTTGCAAACCTTGAAGAGGTAATTTAAGACTTTCAGTCTTCTTGTTTAAAAAAGGCAAAACCAATTTTTCTCCAATTTAGTCTGAGACACAGGGTTGTGGGAAAAAAGGCAAAAGGAGAAAAAAAGGAAGTCTATAAAAAAGTTTAAAAAACAGTGATAGATGGGGTCAGCCAGGTGACTGGAACGGAGCTATTTCACGGACCTTCTACAGGAGGCACTGACAAGGGCGCCTCTGGGCCACTGCGGGCCATCGGTAAGTGGACAGTGTGTTCGGGGCTCGCCTCTCTTGTCTGCATTCTCTCCTCCATTTGCCCCCCTCTGCTCCCAGCCAGGACGCACTGGACTCATGCCACAGAACATCCTCTCGACCTGCAAACCAAGGGGTCAGAGCCCTCTCAAGGTAAACTGTATTTTATAAAAGGAGTTTGGGCACGAGACAAGATTTTGCAAAAAGAAACAGTTCTAATGGCAAAATTCCAGCCATTGGTGGTAGAGAAGGTAGAATCACAGAGTGTTAGGGTGAGGGGAAACCTCTGGGCACACTTTAATTCAACCTTCTGCAGAAGGAATGAGGAAATAAACACATGTCTGAGCTAAGACATACATTTTTAAATGCCCTCACTGAAGTCACGGGCTAATGGTTGAGACCAGTTTCCTATCCCCATTGTTCAGCACTCTTTCCCCACTGCATCCCCACTGTATGAGGTCCTGGCTGGGCTGGCAGAGGCCCCAAAGAAGTCTCAGCTCCAGCTTGGAGCCAGATGCTTGGATCTGAAAGCTAGCCTTGTCATTTCCTGGTGGTGTGACCTTGGCCAAATGACTTAATCTCTCTGTGGCCCCACTCTTTCTCTTGTCCTCTTTTTCTTGGTGGGGTGTGGGTAATAGAACAGGCATGGCCTTTGGGGACCTTTAACTATCTTTTTTTTCCATTTATAAAAACACTAAACAGAGAACCAAAATCGCACCTTTCCACTGAACACTACTAAGGGGTATGTGTGTCTTCTGCTCCACACCTTTTCTGTTTTTCTTTCTCTTGTTAATGCTTTTAAAGACAAATGAGTTTTTTAATATAAAGAACGTTTTTAAAGTGTGAAAAAAACCCCCAATGATCTGGAGAGCTTGTTAAAACACAGATTACCCAGTCCACCCCCAGGTGTTCAGATTCATTGGGCTTGGGCTGGGACCTTGGAGAACTGACTCCTAGGCACCATCTGATTTGCCCAGGACTGAGGGAGTTCTCTTAATAAGATGCATTCAGTGCCAAACTGGGTAATCCTGGGCACAGTGGGATAGTTGGTCACCCTACTCCCAAATGCTGCTGGTGCTGGGGGTCTCAGGAGCACACTTGGAATCAGTGTTCTCTAAGGCCCCTTCTGGTTCTGAAAGTCCATGACCCTGCATGTAATCACCCTCTGTGTCTGAGCAGACATAACTGAATGGGGTGGGGGTGGAGCGCCACATTTAGGGCAGTTCCTGATGAGATGCCAGAGATTTCCCAGACAGACAGCCTCGTAATGCAGCCTCCGAGCGCCAGTCTCTCCAGGCCAAGGCTCAGGCTGTAGAACAAAGCTGAGATTCAGGGCAGCCAGCAGGCGCGGGGGCTGCAGATGGCACAGTCAGGACCCACGCCATTGGACATCTCAGAAAAGCAACTGCAAATGCCTTGGTGGTGAAGTGATGGATTTGGGGGACTTTCATCAGGGCTGGACATGCTGAGTCATGGGCCGTGGGACTTGGGCGTTATTGTCTCTTCTACTGCCCCCACCCCCAAGTGAACAGAATGAGTCTCAAAGTGCAGAGAAGATGAGGGACATGCAGGAAGAGCCCAGCTGCCTGGCCAGATACGTTGGTGAGCAGAGCAGGGCTCAGCAAGGCTGAGTGTCTAAGAGCAGAGTGGACCCTGCTGGGCAGCAGGTGGGGGCAGAGCTGAGTCCTTTCATGGGGATGGGTGGCCAGGGGCAGGTCGGGGACAGGCAGACAGGTAGTGCTTGGGAACTGACTGCACATACTGCACACACATACTAAGCGCTGTTGGCCCCTGGGCCAGCTTCACCCTTCATTCATTCAACAAACATGCACTGAGTCCCCACTTTGTACCTTAAGGAGCTAGAGTTAGTCTTTAAGGAGCTCACAGCAACTGTGGAAGCACAGAGGAAGTGGCACTCGTTCCACCAGATTGGGATGGAGGTTGGGGGGGCAGAGAGGGGCATTTAATCTGATCTCTGAGGACAGGCAGAAAAAGAGGGTAGGCTGCTCAGGCAGAGGGAGCAATGTGAGCAAAAGTCTGGAGGAGTAGGGTGGGCGGGGGGCACAGGGACCCGGGCTGCAGAAAGACTGAAAAGTCAGGTTAGGGGTCGAGGGCAATCTTGTCAGCCACATGTGGTTATGACTTTTCCCCTCTCCCACATGCTCTGCTCCTAGGATCTTACCAGCTTTTTTTTTCTCTGTCTTCTCCCATGAGCAGGAGCACAGGTTGGGGGTGCCTCGACTCTCCATTCCCTAAGGGGAGAAAGCCCCATACCAGGGGTAGGGTGAGTCGGCTCCTGGGGAGCCTGGTGATTCTAAAACAAAGACAAAACCAGACCCCACCCCTTCAGTTAAAGGAGCATCAGCTTCTCCCTTTGGGTTCTTGGCCAACAAGATGCCCTGGTGCATGATGGTCAACAATAGCTGGAAAGAAAACAACAGTCTAAGTGGGTTAATGTATAACTTAATTTTGGCTCCTAATGAAACCTTGTTGCAGTTCTGCACTTGTGGTTCCTTCCTCCATGCACACAGCCTTGTTCTTCTTTGTCTTCATCTCCCTCTTATTTGTCACTCTTCTGATCTATTTCTGGTAGGTGGGTAGTGCCTCTGAAGCAGTCACAAAAGCAATGCTTCCTCAGACCCTCTGATGGGACAGCTGGACGCAGCCAAAGGATCTCTAACTCAGCCCCATGGAAAACTGAGGGAGCTGAGTCTCGGGGAGGGGGCTTGGGGAGGAGCCGCACTGCCGATGAGCGGCAGGGAGGGACCTGGCCGCCTGTCACCACAACCACCAGCAAGGGTTTGATCGGCTAATATAATAATACTAATTATTATTATTTACTAACTGTAACTAAGCACTGGTGTGGGCATTAAGCATTAATTTAATACTTACAATAATCCCATGGTGGGATTATTACCCTTTTTACAGAAGAGGACACTGAGACTCAGAACTAGAAAATGGAGAGAGATGAGCAGAGTGGGTACAGATGTTTCACGTTTTTCAGCACGGTTCTAGTTGTGGCTTCTTGCAGTTTCTTTCAGCTTGGTGGCCTTTGGTTGAAGCTAAGAAAGAGGGAGTCTTCCCTGAGAAGAGACCCCAGTCTGGGGCTGCAGGAAGTGGCAGGGGGCAGTGTCTTCTGATCCTGGCAGTGTGCTGGGCCAGGAGGACCACAGTGGCTGTCACCACAAGCACACCAAACTCCTTGGGGGGGACACGCGGGAGGCAACTGCACCTTTTCCCCTGGTCCCCATCTCCTTGACTTCCAGCTGGGGATCCGGTGGCTGCTGGTGCTATACAGTGAGCCAGGCTGGCCCGGGGCCTCCAGATAACCATGGGCCTTCTCTTTTATGTCACTGTGTTTGTTGTGCAGGTAAATGAACAAGGGCAACTCTTTTAGCCCAAATTTAGGGT